GAGGAGGAGGAGGAGGAGGAGGAAGAGGAGGCGTCGGCGGCGCTTCCCGACGTTTCTCACAGCATCAGCAGCCGCATTTCGGAAACCTTGGCCGGCATCTACGACGACAACAGCCTGAGCCAAGACTTCGAGAAAGATCCCGAGCCGGGACCCCCAAAAACTCCCCCCAACCCACCCGGGGCCGACTCCACGCTGCCAGAGGAGGAGGAAGAGGAGGAGGAGGAAGAGGAAGAGGAGGAGGAGGAGGAGGAGGAGAGGGAGGAAGGCTCGTCCCCTCGAGGAGGCGACGCCAAGGACGCGACGGAGCCGCGGCGCCGCGTCTTCGTGGTGGATCTCGGGGGAAAAAACCGCTCCGAGAGCGAAGCCCACGCCAAATTCGACGGCAAAGTCTCCCTGGAGGTGGTGACGGCCGGAAACGCCAAAGCTCCCCAAATTCCCGGAGCTTCCACCCAAAGCCGAGGCGGAGGAGCCGCCGGCTCCGCGAAAACCTCTCGGCACCGCGGGCGCCGCGAGTGGGGAGCCCCGGGAGACTCGGAGATCGAGGAAGGCGAGATCGTCCCGCAGGACGACGAGAGGTTCAGCCCCGTGAGGATTTTCCGCGGATCCGGCGGAACCGGAGGCACCGCCCGGAGCCGCGTTCCCGAACCGAGACCTCCTCGCCTCCCCCCCGATGGAGGCGGCGGCGGCGGCGGCGACGATTTTTTATCCCTGCACGCCGATTCGGATGAAGAAGGAGATTTCGGCGCCGAATCCCAACCGGATCCGCGTTGGAAAAGCGGCACCGACAGCGGCGGAGGTTCGGATTTACGGCGGAAAATCCTCACGCAGCGGCGGCTCCGCGCTCCCCCTTCACCCTCCAAGAAAAAATCCAAACGTTCCCGCGAACGCGGCGCCGGTTCCGGTTCCGTTTCCAACGCGGCCGCCTGGAAGAAGCCGCCGGAACCGTCGGGCAAAGCCAAGGAGCGGCACCGGCGCCGCGGTTCCCGTTCGCGGTCGCGCCGGCGTTCGTGGTCTCGGCGTTCGCGTTCTCGGGAGAAACGGCGGCGTCGGCGACGCTCGGGCAGCTCCCGGCACAAAGAGAAACACCGCGGCGAGAAAAAGAAGAAAAAACAACGCTCGAGGTCGAGGGAGAGGAGGGGATCGAGGCGCGACGGGGACGGCAAAGCGGAGAAAAGCGAAGCGGCGGCGATGAAGAGGAGGGAGCTGCGCTCCGTGGTGCCGCCCTCGGTGCAGGAACTCAACGATTCCGATCTTTTCGCCATCAAGAGGACGATCACGGTGAACCGCAGGGCCACGCCCGAGCCCAAACGCGAGGTCCTTTACGATTCCGAGGGGTTGAGCTTCGAGGGTTTTTCGGATCGCGAGATGCCGGCGGCGAGGAAAAACGAAACCAGGACGGCGGCGACCACGACGGCAACGACGGCGGCGGCGGCGGCGGCGGGGACGGAGAAAAAAGAAAAAGAGAGGAAACGACGCGCCGAGGAAAGGCCGGCGGGCAGGGAGAAATACAAGAAAAAATTCAAAGAGTACCCCGAGCAAACGGCGAGCGACGGCGGGAAAAGCAAGGAGAAACAACGGGAAAAAAGCGCCCGGAAAGGGAAAAGCGGCGGAGGAGGAGGAGGAGGGCACAAGGAAGGGGCGGAAACGGCAAAAACGGCGACGGGGGCGAGGAAAGTGAAGCTGCAATCCAAGGTGTCCGTGCTGATCCGCGAGGGCGTGAGCTCCACCACGGCTCCCAGTAAAGAAACTGGGAGCGGCGCTGGGAGCGGCATCGGGGTGAAATTCGCCCGCGACGCCGAGAGCCGCGCGGCTTTTTTGAAAAGCGACGAGAAAAGCGAGAAAAGCTCCCAAAAAAACGAGGCGGGCTCGGCGGGAGCCGGGCGGGACGGAGGAGGCAAAACGCGCAAAGTGAAGGCGACGAAAAGCAAAGGGGGAGTGAAAAAAGTCAAGGTGAAAGGCAAAGGCGAGGCTCGAAAAAAGAGGAAGACCAAGGTGAAGAGCGCCTTGAAAAAATCCAAAGCCGACAGCTGCAGCCAAGGCGCCGGGACCCCTCCCCAGCTCCGCCTGCCCCCCAAAACCGAACCGGCGTGGTCGGGTTCGGAAAAATCCACGGGCGGCACCCCGAAAGCAACCGGAACCCCCGTGGCCACCCCGAAAACGCCCTCGGTAGCCACGCCGGCTCCCGCGGTAGCCCCCGCCGAGCGTGAGCTGACCCCGGACTCGCAGACCGTGGACAGCAGCTGCAAGACCCCCGACGTGTCGTTTTTAAGCGAGGAGGGGTCCGGGGGAGCCCCCCAAAGCGTCGGGGGGGACGGGACGGGACTCGGCGAGCACCCCCTGACCCACAGCGGGGGCGAGGCTCAGGTCGACAGTCGGGGAGAGGTCAAGGAAGAGGCGTCGAGACCCCCGGGACCACCGCCCCCACCGCCGCCGGGACCCCCGGGACCCCTCCCCGGCACGGCCACGGCCCCGCCCGTGGTGGCCCCGGGCTGGAGCCTGCAGGGGGGGGTGGATTGTGCCACCAGCGGGGTGCTGGCACGTAGGTGGGGGGTGGGGGTTTTG